TTGTTACTTCAGTCATTAGTAAGTTACTGCGAGTGACTTTAAAAATAACTATAATTTTTTTTCTATTATCATAAGTAAGTTTTGAAACTAAACCAGAAAAACTCTAATTATAAAAATCCGCTATAACTTTTATTCCTACTAATGACCTTTCATAAAATAATCATTTTTGAGTTGACCTTTTCTGTTAAAGTTTTTTCCAGTTTCTGCAGAAACAAATTTTTTGTTTATTTTTAAGGTATAAGAAAACAATGGCTTCTTTGCTGAGAGAAAAATATCCACAAGAAAGAGCAGAAAGTACAAAAAACGTTCTCACAGTGCTTGGACGGAGAAAGATTAGCGAAGTAAGATTTGCAGTTTTTGCTCAATTGTGGAACTCAAATTTATCTTCCTTCTTGGAAACACCTCTCTGGCTACACAAATTTCAAAGTGTCTTTAAGAGAACTGCTGTAAAACTGAAGGAATAAATTTGAAAGTCGGGTAACAGTTGCGTTCCGCTTCGACCTTGATTTTTTAGTATTCAATCTCTACTCACTTTTGTCTTCAGGAATCTACAGAGGCTGAAACTTTGCTGATTACGGGTTCTAAAGCTAAGGAATTTGCTGCTGACGTTACCGCCGTGCTCACAGAGGTTCTCCAGAACGGCGAGGCCGGTACCATTTTTTGCAATGAAAAGATGAAACGTTATCAGCTTGACGAGAAGATCAATAAAGCTATGTCTGAAAGTGACAAAATAGTTATTATGAATGGCAAGTAGTACTAATTTCACGGCAATCCAAACTCATTTTCTGCTAGTTACACGCTTCGAAATTTAGATATTGATAGGCTTCGAGGTGAGGCAATATTAAGTCTGCACGCTCTATGTGATTATGAGTATTCGCCACATTCTAAAGCTCTAGTCGTCCTCACAGTTACCAACTTCAATATGGGAATTTATCCAGATTGTGAAAATGCACTTTCCAGGTGTTGTGTTCGCTATAACTGCAAAATTTTGAATTTCTGTTTCTTTATTTCAATCTAATCTTTTTCAGCCTACTTCACAAAGAATGGCAAACTCCATTCCTAAATGGAGACATAATTTCTGCGATTCTATCCCGCATAACTTCCTACATTATCTGCCTGACAAATTAAAACCCATCTCTTGTGGTTACTTGCTTCTCTGACTTCCTTATTAGACCAAAAAACAATAAAATGTTTCGTCCTCACCTATTTCTCACTTTAATACTATTCTTTTTTACAGCAATCGCTCTTCATTTCGGCACTTTTCAAAAAAAGGTTTATTTCCTTAACATTTTGATGAACCTATTGCACAAAAGATTGAGTAATATACATGGTTCCTAATCATCGAGCACTTAAGAACCTTAGTGTTATATCCTTTCCTGTTGAACTGATAAAATAAAAAGCTGATCTCTGAACCTTTGCTCAAGATATTTATTTGAGTGCAAAATAAATGTATTTTTTTGGCCAAGAAAAAAGTTTTTGCCTTTCTTGATCAAAGATTACTTTTTTCAACTTGAAAATTAAGAATACTTTCAAAACAACGAGATCCACAGTTTTCATTCAGGCATTCCATTTAACGAACCCGAGTGCAACCACTTAGATGTGTAAAGAAGTTAAACAAGAAGTTCAAAAACAAAACTTAATTAAACATGATCTCCACAACAAAACACCATCAAAATCGAGAAAATACTTCCTTCAAAATTTAAAAAACATTGTCGAAAATTTACACTGGCTTTGCAACCTATTCAAGAAAAAAATTATACTTTTTCCTTCAGTAATCCATATCTGCAGTTAACACACTTCAATGGCTAAAAAGTTTTTTGCAATTTTAACTTTTGCTGCTTTTCGCACTCATCTCATTCAGTAATTTACAACTTCAGCTCACACCTAACTTACACTTGCTTCCAATGTCATTTAAAAAACAACTGAAATAAATTTTGAAACAGCGATATTAGACCTAAAAAAAAAGTTGGTAAATGGATCAATGTTTCGGAAACAGCATAAAAGACCTCTTACCAGTCACTACTCAAAAACCAATTTTGACGCAATTGAGAACACAAGATGGAATCATAATTTACTTTACTATCAAGACCACTTTTTCTTTGTACAACGACACTTCACTAACTAAACAGTTCCAACCTAACATAGCTCTAATGCTTAGCCTACCGTGTTCTAACTCGTTCTTATTTTACTCGCAGCTGAAATTCAATACAGCTAATAAAAAAACTTTGCAAAAACGTCGTTTAGCAGATAAAAAACAATATGGATGTCTAAACAATATTTCTAGTACCCTAAAATATTATTTTATAGCCAATTCTTTCGCTACACCTCCCCCCTTGTCGCACAATGTGCGAAAGAAACAATATTTTGAGTGGACTTGATACGCGGAAGGTAAAATAAAAGGGAGTACACGGCAAAATGACAAACACATTAGTTATCATAAAATCAAAAGAACCGTCGCTGAAGGCTTTTTTTCAAGAAATAGAGTATAAAAGTTGATTTTATTAGCTGATGTCAGCATTACTGTTTCCAGTTGTTCTACAGTGCTTGTGCCTTGTTAGGTTCTCCTTTTTTTGTTTTTGTAGTTAACTCAAAATTATTGATGTTATTTTAAATCAACAAATTATAGCATTTCGTTTTGAATTGCTTCAAATTTATGAATTCTGCACATCTCCTTTTATAAGTCCTTCACACTTATTGGAATTTTATTACAATATTACAATTTGTGTCACAAATTGTTTGGAAAAGTTTCAGGTAAAAATTTTCTTTGACTTCAAAAACACGCTAATTCTATGAGTGAATGAAGTGTTTACGACAGCTACCCTCCCCCCCCCC